TCATTTCATAGCACGGTGCCTTCCCATGTAGGCACTCCAATATTTCTTAATCCCTGCATATGAGGAATTTTCAATCTAGTTAGGAAGAGCAATTTATGTTCACAAGAAAAGTTAAGTAACAATACAAGGCATTATAAGTCATTACAGCAGAAGTTTCCAAACTTGTCTGTACATAAGAGTTACCTAGGCATCTTTAAAAAATTCCAATATTCAGGCCACACTCTAGACTAATTACAATGCAATCTGTGGGAACAGAACACAGGCATTAATATTTTTTGAAGCTTCCCATGAGAATCTAACATGCAGACAAGTTTGGGAACTACTGTGCTAAGTGAAGGAGCAGATAAGAAAGACTTCAGGAAGGTCCAGTTTGAGCTAGTCCAGTGGTTTTCAAATGGTTCAGGGTGTAGAACATCTGGACGTTATGGTATGCTCCTTGAAATACAACATGGCCTCTCTCTCATATTTTCTTTCTTTCTCTCTCTCTTTCTCTCTGCCTCTCATCTGTCTTTACCCATGTTATTCCCACTGCATAAAATTTACACTTGTTCACTGGGCAACTTCTACTTCTCTCAAATCCATCCTGCCAACTCTCACAGGCAGAAATAGTAGGGTGCTTTTTCCACAATCTTCCCACTTAAACTTTGTATAGACTCCTTTCAGAGCAAGAGTGTATGAGCTAAGACACGATAAGTCATACCACCAATTTAATAACAGCTTTGGGGTTAAAAAAGAAATTCTTCTATATTAAATGTGTGTATGTGCATGGTAAGTGTGTATATGTGCATGTTAAGCATTATATGTGCATGTTAAGTGCATGTATGTGCACATTAGGTATGTATGTGCATGTTAAGTGTGTGTATACACATATTAGGTGTGTATGTGCATGTTAGGTGTGTATGTACATTAGGTGTGTGTTAAGCATGTGTATATGCATGTTACGTGTGTACATGCGTATTAGGCGTGTATATGCGTGGTAGGTATGTGTGTGCGCGTTAAGCATGTGTACATGCATGTTAGGTGTGTATGTGCATATTAGGTGTGTATGCATGTTAGGTGTGTCTGTGCATGTTAAGCATGTGTATGTGCATGTTAGGTGCGTGCATGTTAAGCATGTGTATGTGCATGTTAGGCATGTGTGTCCATGTTAAACATGTGTACATGCATGTTAGGTGTGCATGTAGATGTTAGGTATGTGTGTACATATTAGGTGAATGTATGTTAAGCATGTGTATGTGCATGTTAGGTGTGTATTTGTGGTCAGTCCTCCGTACCTGTGGGCTCCTCCTCTGTGGATTCCACCAACTGCAGATTGAAAATGTAGTTAGGCCTATGATGGTAGCATCTATACTGAGCATGTACAGACTTTTTTTCCTTGTAATTATTCCTTAAACAATACAGTATAACAACTATTTACGTGGCATTTAAATTGTATTAGTTATTATGAGTAATCTAGGGATGATTTATAGTATACGGGAGGATGTGCATACAGGATGATATGCACAGGTTACATGCAAATGCCACGCCATTTCATATCAAGGACTTGAGCATCCACAGATTTTGTTATCTGTGGGGGGAAGGTATATCCTGAAACCAATACCCCACAAATACTGAGGGATGACTGTATATAACATATATATTATATTTATTATATATTATCAGACACATTCTGATTTCCAAAAAGTTAAAAATGTAAAAAAAGTCAGGCTTAGAATTAAGGAAATATAGTATGTTTAATATTACCATATGAACTAAATGCAATTTTATGAACAAAACAAAAATGTGAAGGTACTGCGTATTTTAATTTTAAAAATCACATTGGTGAATGGTTCACCATTATAAATTTGATTATACTCTTAGGAAGATGTAAACATTTTCTCAAATTCATGTCATAAACTATCTGAAAATATTATAATTATTCCCAAAAAGGAGAAAGAAATGATCATACATTCATAGCATTTACATGTAAAAATACTAAATTTGCTTACCTGAGTAGTGAATAAGGCTGTGTTTGAAATATCAATAAATCATTACAGTGACCCTAATCAACATAAAAAAGTCTTATCAGGATTTTTAATACAAATAATAGTGTATTAATAATCTAATGTTTTATTTTATAAATGTAAAATAAATTATATAAAGCAGCAAATAAATCTCTCTAGCTGTTACACACACATAAATGCACACACACATACACACACAAACATACACATACAAACATATACCTGCTATCCACAAACACTGGGTATGTGGTTACCAATTTTCAGTGACCAAATTTTTACCTAATCGATAGCCTACATAATCCCAAATTTAAAAATCAGAAACACGTTCTTCTCTGAGAACTGAGTTAAAAATGATAACGGTATGCCTTTAAAAGTCTTGGCTTAAAAAAAAATTATAACCCTAGTGGTTTTCAAATTTTTTGGTTTGAGGAGCATAACTTTTTCTTTCAAATAACTCTTATTTTAAAGTTTCCTCTTTATTCTGTATCCCTTTTCCAAGTGGTCCCAGGATTCCCTGTGAATTCTTAATTTGAAAATCAAGATCTGGAAGTTTTTTTGAATAATGCATCTCATCTAAAAGTTAATGTAGTAGAAGAGTCACAGAAGATTTCTTTAATCCTCTCAAATAGGTCTTTAGAATTTCATAAATTTTGGTCACAATTTTAATCAGAATTCTTACTTTAATGATAAACTTTGTATCCTAAATAAAAGTTTCCAGTACCAAATAAGAAAAGACAAATCACAAAATTTGGTTTTTAAATAAATGCAAAGTTGTAGTTTTTATCTTTTAATGAAGCACTGAATTCTCAGCCAAAGAAAGCTCTAAAATGTTCAATATCCATAGGATTTAAGTTGGAGGCCTCTCCAGATTCCCTGGAGACAAGCTGCCCTATCTCAGGGTTGGCTACTCCAGAGGAACAGCTCTGGAGACAATTGTTGCTGAAAGATGAAAGAGAGCTGGTCTTCTTGGTGGGCCTCTGGCTCACTGCACCCCATCCCTGATGGCTCAGTGTCCTGCCATTCTTAGGGGTCCTACACAAACCAGGGCAATCATTCCTGAACTCCTAGGCCATCAGGTACAGTGTTTGAATGTGGCCACCCTGCTCTGAATTTCCCAGGGTGCTAGGAATGAAAGAACAATACTCTCCAAATGCTACTCATTCATTCCTTTGACCTTATTTTTATCAGATTTTAAAAACTGAAATGCTTTAAACTCAAATGTAGAACAGTTGCGTGAAGCAGTGGCAAAAGATGCATAAAATAAAAAGAAAATACACTCAAACATTTCAACAAAGTAGTTTCCTCTTGAGGGAAGAAGCTAGCAGGTCAGATTCAGAAGGAATAAATGGGTAGCTTCGACAGTATTGATGATACTCTTTAGTTCTTAAATTAGCGAGCAAATTTCACGGGTATTTATTATGCTTGGCATCTATATTATAAATATTCTTTTATGTATCAAATGTCATATATAAATATTTTCATTCAGTAAAATTATATACACCCATATTATGTACAGCTCAAAGAGAAAAGAAAAGTAAGAGTCATCCTTTAAAAGCTCTTCTTAATAATTAGACTAATGAAATTAATAGACCTATATTAATTTGTAAATCCAAAGTATCCCGAAATGCTTCATAAAAGCCACTCATTATGAAGATTAATCATACCACAAAGTAACACTTCATGCCCTTCCATATTTTGCAATGTTAGAATATCAACATGCTTGTTTAACAGCCATTTAGTTTGAATAACACAATTACCCAGAGGAAAGGTTTAGATATAAGATTTTCTTACTGTATCCAAGGAAAGTAAATCATCTTTGCTCCCACCAAATACCATTATTTCATTTTCTTTTCCCAAACAGGCTGTGTGCCATAACCTGTAATTGAAAATTATAAACAGAGTGAAATACTGTCAAGGAAGAAACTTTATATTACGTATAAATCAATTCTAAATTGCACATTAAAATTTAATCTATTTCTAAAGAGGCATGATTGAACTTGAACCTTTGGCATATCCTCAAAGGGGTTAGATTTTAAAGATCCCTCTAGAATTAATTATATCACACCATTTCAACTAAGGAGATGACTATTAATAATTCTTTCTATTACTATCCGCCCAACTTTTTCTAACCCCTTTATCTCATACATATTATATCTGAAATAAAATAAATTAAAAAGCAACTGATCACCTTGTTGCTGAAACAGGTACCTTTCCCAGTTTTCTTATTACTATTAATATCTGCCATGTTACTGTTTCCATCATTTTTGCCTCTGTCTTTCCTGCTTTCTGTTCCCTGTCACCTGACAAATCCAATTTGTCACATTACTCATCGCTCTGGGTAGAGAATACCATAAATATGTTCCTGGTTTTTCTGTCTCTAATCTCCCCCAACTACATATAGCTAACAACTAATATTTTCCAAATATTGTTTTTAATCATGGAAATTTGCTGATTGGCATCTGTGCTACCAATAGCTGTCTTTCAAATAAACCCTCTAGTTAAGCCAAGTTCATTTCTTTGTTTCCCCCAAGAGAAAAGCTTGTATCTACCTCTAGGCTTTTGTTTATCTTGTTTCTTACACTTAGAACAATTAAGTCATTCTCTCAGGGCCTTAAAAACAGGCTCAAAACACCCAAATACCCACCCAAACTGGTTCTGTTACCATTTCTGTTTGGTACCCTTCAATATTTATGTGCTTATTTTATATTCTCCTAAATTACATTTGAAGATAAACTGTTTTGTATAGTACTTTAACTGCTTGATGTGTCTTCTAGCTACCTAAGAAGACGATGAGGTCCTTGAGGTCAGAAATTGCCACAGTGGTGTGCTGGACCCGGCTCAGTGCCTACTTGAAGCCGACTATGCATATTTCCATCGAACTTTACGCTCAGTGACATCATGTTGGTAGCTTGAAATTGGCGATGATGGAAGTATTTACAACTTGAAGATCATCATATGCTACAAATTAAAACTTTCTTTCTCCCTTCTGAGAGTGATTGCTAAACGTTTACCAGCA